ATAATAATAATAATAATAATAATAATAATAATAATAATAATAATATTATTATTATACGATAATAATAAATTATGATAATCGTAATAACAGATGCTCCTGGAAATAATAATAATGATACGTAAGCAGTAAAAAAAACTCTTCACTGACTTAAGCGTTATGTAGCCCAGACATACCTGAGAACGCCGTAGATGGTTTGGAAAGTAACGATCATTTCCACGCCAAAGCTGGCAGCTGAGAGAAGGAGCTGGTTACCCAGACTCACCCCATCGTCTTTTCCTTCTCCTGCTCTTCTTTTGTCTCCTCCGTTCCCATTTTCTCCTTTTCTATCGCTCCTTCGAACTCCTCTGTTTCTATTTCCTTCGTCTACTCTTTCATTCGCACCGTCAATATGTTGTTGTTGTTGCTGCTGGTTCATATTTCTAGACCACCATTTTTGAAGTTCTTTTTCCCCTCCTTCTATTCGTCCAACGAACCCGTTTTCCTGTTTGTCCTGGCGCTTCTCCATAGCAAGTTGTGTTGGTTTCGAGCTCTGCTAGTGCAGCTGGTGTTGACGTTGATCCAAACAGATTATATTCAGTTTCTACCGGTAAGGTAGTTCAGGAGATGACGGTGGCGGTGGCGGTAGCGGTGAGGGAGGCAGTGGTCGCGGTGCCGGTGACCGTGACGGTGACGGTGGCAATAGTTACGGTGACAAGCAGGCGACGGTGAGGAAGATGACGATATTTCAGGGAGTGACTATGAGTGCGAGGATAAAAATGTTGTTTTAACGGTGGTGGATTTTTGCACAGTCACTCTCTTGAAATCCTACCCAGAATGTATTTTCAATATACTTGCCTCATAGTTTTTCGCCCTTGCCTGAAAAAAATGAAAATAAAATTGAGCATATTTTGTACAAGAGAGCATAATGATATAACGTCTGGAACATATGCATAGTCACTCATGCATGATCTTTACCTATTTTTATTTTAAAGCTGTTTTACGCCCCCATCGACACTTTTCCGATCATTTAGGAGGCTGGCTTCCGACCCTGCCTTTCAGTGCCAACTCTCAGACCCTTGTTCGAATCACTAAGGGATGCTCTTGTCTTGGCTCTTCATCTATTTGACTCGGTCCTGTTTAATCGGAAGTTGACGCTAAAATCGGACATCTTGCCTCTTAGATAATGTCAGAATTGCTTCAGAAAAATTTAAGTTGTTGAAATAAACCTTGTTGTGCAATGGTGAGACTCTCCGCTGTGGCACGCAAAAACATGAGTTTGTTTCCTGTACGTACAAACCTATTGAGGATCTTCATTTTCTGCGAGGACACGCCTGGCCAGCCCGTTTATTAAATTATTTAAAATTGTATCTGTGTTGAATTAGGTGTAGGTGTTTCTAGGCTCCCACAGTCACAATGTAAATCATTTAGAAGGTGGACATCAATCTTGCCGGTCAGGGTCAACCTGAGCCGAAGGGGGATACATCGTCCCCTTTGCTTGTTTTTGTAAAAAGTTTTACGCACATGCAACACAATAAGATAATATAAGTGCCGAAGATTAGAGGTGTTACAAAAGAGTAACAAATAACAGGAAAGAAGAAGGGGCGATAATGACGCTGAATGTTTGATAGGAAAGAAAGGGGAAAACCACACAAGAGCATCCACCAATCACCCACTCATTATCGTCCCCACGGAAAGACTAATATCCTCAATCAAAATTTCCCCTGCCCGGGAATCGAACGCTGGTCTTCCGTGTACAACGGAGTATCACAGACATTGGTTGTGTCAATGTGGATATAAGTCAGGTGCAGTCATTTAACGAAGCTAACACCTAACAACATACAACGTAGTACATTTCGAAAGAAGAACATCCATTCCTTATCCATCACAAAGCCAGAATGGAAATGATTAGTGCAGGCGGAACGATTAGAATAATAATATTACATCTCCATATACTGCAGTAGATTTGAGCTTCGAACGATCCCTTGGAAACACTTTTGCGTAACTCAAATTTGACAAAGCGCCTGTGGCAATAAATACACAACGCAGTCGCAAGAAAATGGCAACAGCTTCTGGTGTAAAATATTTCAACACTGCTTCTTGTTTTTTTGGGGGGTTTTTGTTGCTGTTGTTATTGTTGTTATTGTGGTTGTTGTCGTTGTTGCCACCGTTACTTTTATTGCTGCTGCTGCTGCTGCTGCTGGTGTTTTTGCCCAACAGCAGTGAACATGTGCACCCTATATAGGCATTAAATTTTGTGCTTCGTCTCCTCGTCGGCCTGGCACCCTCAGGCACGTTAAATGTCACACATTATTGTTACCTTTATTCACAACTTCATGCAGCTGTTCGCACCAGTTTATGGACAACACTGTAAGCAGAATACAGATCTAATACGTTTCAGGGGTCACCGGGCGGGAAAAAACGACCAGTTATATATTATAACCCATTAATCATAAACATGTTTGCTACGATCGGAGAAGCCCGAAAGGCCAGATGGAACAACAAGTTTTGTAACACAATGTAACATTAGCTAACATTCTCTCTCTCTCTCTCTCTCTCTC